AGTACATGTCTGTTTATTTGTTGAAAATAATGTACAGAAATTACCATATGTTACAGTTCCTCGTGAACCTGCCATCATTGATGTACAAAGAACAACTGAAAACAGCATCAGATTCACATGGACAGATCCTACCATATTTTGTGGTGATATTTTACAATATAGAGTAAGTAATTAGAATCTGTTCGGTTTATATATTCATCTCTGCAGAAAACTATGTGCATACATACATCTTTCCAGCTACTTACTTCTATTCAGCTACAACTTGTATTCCATGTATGTTCAAAAAACAGAATTTGCAGATCTGTGGACGATTTACAGTTCAGTAGAATTAGGCCCAGTATGATTGGGTTTTATATTTATATTGTTGTGTACCCTTCTACAGATATACTTGTACCAACAGAATAAGATAATCACCATGATAATTACAAAATGACAAAACACTAACTGTAAACAAACTACAGGTATATGACTTCTCCAATGTCTCCCTGGTGTGAGATTTATTCAGCTTGGCTGCGTCATAGTAGTGACTTATAATTCTTCATTATTTTCATTTCATAATAGATAACATATAGATCAACTGCATCTGTGTATTCAACAACCGTGTTGGAATCTAAGGATATACTCGTTGAGGGCGATATTAATACATACACTCTAGGAGAATTACCAAGAGGAACACAGTTTGAAATATCAGTGAGTGCAAGTACATCAAAAGGATTTGGTAAACCTAATTCAATTATCTCTGGAACTACAATTGGTAAGTGTATATTACGTTGTTTGATCAATTCATAAAAAAATATGCAAATCACAATAAAAAACAAATTCTGAACTAAATGCCTTTACTTACACATTACATGCATGATGGTTCAATTGATAGTGCTAGGCATTACATCAAGTTCATTGTGACAATTGCATCCAAGCTCATTTTATAACACCAATTCCATTAATTCCGGAAAACTAGTACAGGTGCTAGTAATTATTTATTTACAGTAACAGTTTGTAAAAAATATTATTATATATGTACTGCAGTTTATTTTGATTTGTCGTTGAAATCAAAATCGGTATTTCCACACCTCATATGCAAATGAGGTCTGAATGCTAACAAAGTAGTCTCTTCAGGAGTACGGTTTTTCGAAACATAGCAGAAATAAACAATATTACGAATTACGATATTTTTCTTTTGGGGTACATTAATATACTTGCCGAGTGAAATGAAATTTGAACAACAGTAATAGTACCTAATAATACCTTTAGGCAGTCACTTATTTTGACTACACTAATTTGCAACCATGCAATATTGTTTTCGGTATTTTCAAAGTAGTTTTGCAAATGAACATGATAATTCCATTGGCTACCGAACTATATTTATTTTGTACAGACATTTTCGTCTGCTATTTTTGTCCGGTTCAAATCGTCAGGAACATTTTTAGCATGTTAGGTGTACATCACATAGAATACTACGATTGGCTGAACTTAATGTATGTTGACTACCTGGAAACTGAGTTTAAGAAACCTTGAAGGGCTCTCGGAAGATCCACCCGCAGTAAAATCAGTCATTACTCTGGAGCCGCCACCATCAACATCGATATACGAGTACCAAGAGGTTTCTGCTGGCGATGTTGCGGCGTTACTCAGTTCAAAATAAAGATTACCAACGCCAAATGAGCAACATTTTAACAGGCAACTAAGACTCAATCAATCCACAACCAACCAACCAGCAAGCAACATCACACACAAAGTTGTAGCGTGCAGCTCAACGACGACCGCTGTCGACGAAAGTCATCCCGTCAGTAGATTACCGCAGTTACATGGCATGTTTGCCAATGCACAATTCTGTGGAGGTACTTTTAACTTCAACAAGAACTGTGTATCATAGTCGTCCAAGCTCTGGTTTTGTCGTGGTTCCAACTAAACGTCAACGAGTTATTTATTCGGACAGTGACTCAGATTAGACATCTGATTATTTTATTTTCTCATTGACAGTGACACGCGTTGCTAGGGCGTAACACTATATTGGAACATATTAAGGTAGAAAGGTTCGTGGGCACTTGGGAGTGAAACATTTTTTTTTTCTTTTTATTATTCAAACAGTCTTGGGTATAGACTGTTAAAATATTGTAGAATTGTGAATAGTGGGACATACATAAAAAAACGATTTTAAAATATAGATAACAGGTGCAAACATTATCTCTTTTGAATGCTCAGCAAGATTTAGCAAGGCTGTACAAAAATAATTAAAAAGAAACACG